TGAACTGGACTGGAATGATTTTTCCTTAACACACCCAACCATCAAATTTATAATAATTTCAAAAAGTTAACGTAAATATGCTTCAGATTAACTGTATGTGTATTCAGACTCAGAGACAGTTACCGTTGAGTCTATTTGCCTTCTGATATAATCAATAAAATGACTTTAATTAAAATCTTAGTTACAGGTACAATATCTCCTCTAAATGGTAGAATACTTCTTTAGCTACAACCCCAAAGCCTGCTGGTTCTGACAATCTGGAAAGATTTTTATTCCTGCCAAGCCACAACCTTATCATGTGTACACATTGAGAAAGTTAACCTATTTTTCAAATTTGGATTCATTCATATGAAGACCTGGAACAAGGTCAAGTTATAGACTCTAAACTCAGCTGCTTCCAGAAGACCAGTGTCCACACAATTAATACATGACCTAAGTCATGGTATTTATTATTATAAAAAGGTATGTAGTATTCTGTATTTTAAGTCTGCTAAAACAATCATATAGCTCTTTATATTGTAAATTCATAAGAACTATATAGCCCACACACACACACATAAAATGTACAGAGATTGTTGTGTACTGTATATCAACAGCTACTAATTCATTTATTTGTAGGACAAAGTAACAACTGGTCCAGTAGAAGTGAGTGGTTTAATATCACAGGAACATACTAATGATCCGTTCAACAATCACATAAAAAGGAAAAACAAAATATAGATCATCTGAAGATGATAAAAAAAGACAATGATAAGTTAACATTGCTTTGTTGCATATACAAAGAATAAAATTAGAAAAACTTCATAAAAAACAAAAATCCATGGGACTATTTACAAATTCTGTACAAGGATGGAAGTCTTCCTGCTGCAAGAAACACAGAAAACAAAACATGTTAATTTTTCGACAACATGGACTTTTTTTAATTACACTTTTGGTTTTTCAAAAGCAGAATATTTTTGCTACAGAAAATAAACCGTTATGGAAACCACTAAATGTAATTTCTGTCAAATTAGAAGCAATGACTCTTAATCTGTCTTCTTACCTATAAACGATTGAGCAGGTTGTTCTGAATGTCCTCGTACACCTGGTTGTAGATCTCCTCTTTTTGCTTCAAACCATCCAGGTATTCTGTAACACGTGAAAAAGTTGACAAGTTAGGCAGAAGTTTGAAAATCATCAACAAATACAGTTTCTCCCTGAATGGATTATACTGAATATTCAAAAGAAGAATATTAACGTACTTATATTCAAGCCACTCTCCTCCATTGATTTCCTATGTCTCAGGTACATCGGCCACACGTGGCCATCAAACAGGCCGGGAGGGTCGGGGACAGTGTACTGTCTTGTACTGAAAATAATAAACACACTGTTAGAAAATGTGCATTTGCTATGACAGGATTATGGGAGAAAAAGCAACTGAAACGGTTGACAAAAACAAAACAAAACAGGATAAATGTAAGAATGTAGCCATTAAAATGTAAAAAAGGTAAACACTAACAATAAGAACAAATCTTTTTGTGTATCCTCACCTTCTCCTTCTCTTGCACTCCTCATAGGGAATCGTGATGTAGTAACACTTGTTGAAAACATCCAGCAGAGGCCTACAGGGGAGATGAACAAGGTCATCAATAATGACACATAATGTCTTCAACCGAACCAGAGCAGAGGAGCATCGTTATGCAACTGTTCATACGGTCTCTTATCTGCATCTCTGCAGCATGCTCGACATTCAGCCGTAGCACACAGAGTACCGATCACCCAGCAGCCAGCTTTAAGGACAACTCAGAGAGCCTCTTTCTGCTGAAACCCTTATCTCTATCTGCAGGACCCGCCCAAGTCTGGCTGCAGGCATCTGTGCGAGTGTGCCAGTGGTAAGCATTCAAAATAACCACGTGCAGTCCAGAAATAACACCGCCCGGCCAATGTTTGTCATGAATTTTGTAGAATTAGCGAGAAGGGCCCTTCAAAGAAACTTCTGTGGTGTGAGGTGACCCAATTCCATTTAGAGTCAGATTAAAAACACAAAACATGATCTTCCACAGAAGAAACAAATAGACACAGACGGATAAATTTCTTATTAACTGAACCAGTTTATATGTAAAATCATGACAGGAGAGTTGTCTTTGTTGTTCTGGGACGGTTCCTCTAAAGCTGGCAGGCGAGTTAAACTACGAGAATGAAAACCAAACGTACGGGTAGTTGTACAGCAGGAAGCCCTCCACAATGAGGATGTGGGTCTGCTCGCCAGGGTTGGTCACTTTGGACGCAGAGGACAGTGGGACGCCGTGGGAACGGGCGAACTTCACTGGGTTCTCCATCCAGCCTTTTATCGTGTTGGTCATGGCCTCCATATCCAAAGCTGTGATCACTGTAGAGCAGGAATGAAAAGAAAGGAAAACAACGGAAAGGACAGATAGTGAATTAGAATGGATACAAGTCGAAGATATAGAAAAAAAATGTTTTGTATTTACCTTCAAGTTACTGAAGGTAATTATCAGTGTAATGTTAATATAATGTTGTGCATGTTAAATGGATATAATGTATGTATTGTTGGGGGTTGGGGGTATAGGACACTAAAGGGTAAACAATGAGTCATTGGCAGTCTTCAGTGAAGTCTTACCATCCCATTGTCTAAAGCCGTCCTCTCCGACTTCTATCTGATCAGGTTTCTGAAATAACAGTCACCAATAAAACATTGCTGCAACCTCACAGCTCTGAACACATGCAGATCCCACTCACATGCCAGAGAGAGAGAGAGAGAGAAAAGGAGGCACACACCGAAGGGCATGCACAAAATAAAGCAAGCCGTTTACAAAAGTACAGGCTCAGTGAAATTGGGGAAAGACAGAAATGCTCTATATAACATGAAGGTGTTAAATGAGATGAAGGAGAAAATAGACACTGTGACCATGAGTTGTTTTTTAAAGCTTGTTGTTAGGTGGCTTTCACAGTACACAAAGACAATAAAAAAAAAGACATTAAAAGGACATAAAAGGCAGGAAAATCATGACTGAGACAACGAGGTAAAGAAACTATGTTGCATAGACATCAAGGCGGTTTCCATATTGTGAGTGTGGGGATGTGGGATTACTCAGAGCAGAAGCCACTACTTTACTTTACTTACATGCAATGCTCATGCAGTGCTCATAGAGGAAATAATAACACCAATAAAACAGCTTTACTATTAAATACTAAAACTCACCTTGAAGAAGTCATCCTGGTGCACAACACAGCAGTTGGGCAACGTCTTGATCAGATTATTTGTCAGGGTGGTTTTCCCACCATTAGTGACTCTGTAAACAAAAAGGTGATAAAATGCTTATTATTAATTTATTTTCAGCTACAATTATGGTTTAAAACAAAATTGTTTTTTTTTAATAGAAAAAAACAACAACAAAAAAAACCCCGCCAGCTTTCCTCCAGAGGACATGTGGCAGCCTTTGTTTACATTTTATAATGCAAAGTGTAGTTAATTTGGTACAAAAAAAGTCACATTTGACTAAAACAGTTAAATATAATAAAAAAGTATGTGTGTGAGGTATTTTTCACAGTTGCATCGCTTTAATAGAGAAATGTTCTGAATAAAAAGCGCATTGCTTTGTTTTAATAAAATCAGCCAAAATACACTGCAATAAAACTGTGTCATTTCCTAACTTAAGGTTTGTATAGAGATAACAATGATGGTAACAGCAAACAGTTTTGGGACAATACTAATATTAAATCTCCCTCCACTTTTGAACTGAATCTCGCGGTGAATTTTCAAATGTCCCGCTCAATGGATGACAACAAACAACAACCAGACAAACCGGACATGGCTTTAAGACCGATTCAACACTGTTGCACTTTCTGGCGCGCAGCTGATTACACATGTGGCCAAAGGGATAATAACTATCCACTAAGAGTTGATAAAGTCACTATTACACGTTAAAACAACGTTATCTGAACCACTACTTTAACCTTTTTAAACGATACATCCACGAACAATAACATTATAACACATTTTATTCAACAGTCGAATATAAACTACCAGATAGTCAGTTGAGCTAAGATGACATTACAATATTTAAAATTAAAACTACACCTAAATGTTATTGCAAAATGTAAGCAAACAACAATGTTAACGTTAGATTAATATAAAATAAAAACACTTACCCGCCAATTCCTATAATGTATTTCATCTTTCTCTCGACAGTCCCGCTCAACGTCAGCTAAAGAAACAGTCAAAAGTGCGTTTTTACCTAAACAAAGGATAAAATCGTGAATGAAACGCGTTAAATGTTATTAAATATAAACTTTATGTGACGTTGTTTCTCTGCTGCTCCATTAACTGCTCTCTCGCGAGGCACCGCAGCTTATATACAACACGCGTCACATTGCGTCACCACTCACGCGGGCGCGGGGCGTTCTCGCGGTCGGACGTGCTCGTGCTCTGTCCCACGCGTGCTACGTGCCCCCTCCAGCGGCAGCCAATCAGTTCGCGCGGAGCTCCCGCCGCCGGCCAATCACAGCCCGCGAACTTTCACACGTTTACATATTCCAGAACACCTGTTGGTTCTCGTCCGTCACCCAGCGACGGGGAGCTCGCGCTATTCCATTCAGCAGTTAATCCACCTGGTGACCTAAGGCGCGCGCTGTGGAAAACTACCGCTGATGGTTTTTTATAGAGACATTAAATAACAGCTGCTTTCATACTGTCGTCTACTGTCGTCTACTGTCGTTTACCAGTGAGGAGGCTTAAAGTATGGAAAGATTATGGGGAAACGTACCAGCTAAACAGGTCAACAATGTTATTGTGTGGAGATTTTAGACTGATATAAATGTTAGGCCCAATTAAAAACAAAAAGTAGGTATATTTTAGTCTTTGACAGGAGGAATAATAATTACACTATTATTTATTATTATCTTAAACTGACTTATGGCCATTTCACCACCAGTGGTGTTAGATTCTTAAGTAAAAGTAGCAATAGTTTGCATACACTACATTTGTATATATTGTCTACACATATTATGAGCAAAATGTGCTTTAAGTATCGAAAGTAAAAGCACTGTTAGAGTTTAATACTATATATATCATGTAGTTGAATATACTTCAATATATTCAGTTTCAATAATATGATATATTGTGTTTATTGGTAGTTAATGTTAAATACTTTACACAGTATACTCCTTAACAAACTATATTTTATTTAAGAAGATTTTATCTACAAACTAATTGTAGTTTTCAAATAAATAGTGGAGAAAAAAGTACAATATTTCCCTTTAAAATTTAGTGAAGTAAAAGTGTAAAGTAAC